CGCCTGTCTCCCCCCGCCCAGTGGATGAGGGTCCTTTCCTCTGACACCCCCGACCGTCGCCTCTCATGGAGCCCTCCTTATCCGTGAGGGTTCCTGCTGCCTTCCCGGTCATGCCCCAAAGGTGACCCTGTCATTCCCCATGGAGTCCCCAATCCAGACCCATGAGTGACTCCATCATGACTTTCTCTTTTGTCCCCAGAGTGGTGGTGGTGATCTGACGCTGGGGCTGGAACCCTCAGAAGAGGAGCCCCCCAGGTCTCCACTGGCCCCCTCAGAAGGGGCAGGCTCAGATGTTTTTGATGGTGACCTGGCAGTGGGGGCGGCCAAGGGGCTGCAGAACGTCCCCACGCATGACCCCAGCCCCCTGCAGCGGTACAGTGAGGACCCCACAGTAACCCTGCCCCCAGAGACTGATGGCTACGTTGCTCCCATGACCTGCAGCCCCCAGCCCGGTATGGAGTGCAGGCCTGAACTGGGGGCTCGGACCTCACCCAGGGTGGGTTGTGGGGCAGTGGTGGCAGGGACACCTGGGTCCCTCTCCCTAACTTGTCTTCTCTTGCCCTTTCAGAATATGTGAACCAGCCTGAGGTTCGACTGCAGCCCCCCTCGCCCCTGGAGGGCCCTCTGCCTCCCGCTCGGCCTGCCGGTGCCACTCTGGAAAGGCCTAAGACTCTCTCCCCTGGGAAGAACGGGGTTGTCAAAGACGTTTTTGCCTTTGGGGGTGCCGTGGAGAACCCCGAGTACTTGGCACCCAGGGGAGGGGCTGCCTCTCAACCCCACCCTCCTCCCACTTTCAGCCCAGCCTTTGACAACCTCTATTACTGGGACCAGGACCCAACAGAGCGGGGGTCTCCGCCCAGCACCTTTGAAGGGACTCCTACAGCAGAGAACCCTGAGTACCTGGGTCTGGACTTGCCGGTGTGAGCCAGAGGCCTGGTCTGCTGAGGCCCTGCTGCGCCCTCAGGGAGCGGGGAGGCCTGACTGCTGACCCGCACCACCACCAGGCCAGGAGCTCCCCTGGACCACATGCAGGAGGCCTGCCCTGCCAGGAACCTGTCCCAGGAACCTTCTATCTTGCTGGAGCCCTCGGATGGCTAGAGAACCCGACCTGGTTGGAAGCACTGGGGTGTCTTGGCTGATTGGGAGCCCTGCCCCACCAGCCTCGGGGCGCCACAGGCACCGTCTCCTTGGCTGCAGCAGTGGGCTAGCCTGGCCCTCCTTCTGGACCCTTGGTACTGAAGGACACAGGGGAGCTGGCCCAGGAGGGGAGAAGCCCAGGGGAGTCTCAGAACAACAACCCACGGAGAGACTGTCTCAGACTGAGCGCTGCCCCAGACCCGTACGGGAGCAGCAGTGGTGTCCACATCTGGACCTTGTACAGAGTGCTTTTTTTTTTTTTTTTAATGTATTTTTGTTTGTTTTTGTTTTTGTTTTTTTTTTAAAGATGAAATAAATGCCCAGGGGGAGAGTAGGTGTTGTATAAAAGGGGAGTTGGAGGGCCCGTAGGATTGTGGGAGGGATGTCCCTTCTCCATGCCTACTTTCTCCGTTTGCAAATATATTCTGGAAAATAGCTGGGCTCCAGCCCACATGGAGGGGGGTTCTGTGCCATCCCTTCCTGCTCGCCTTACACTCACCTCTCTTCCCTTTCCCTGGAAGAAGCCTGAATGAGGTCCTTGGAGTCTAGTTGGAGGGATGGGGAACTTGACATTCTGATCTAAGAGCCCTCTGATAAAACCAGATCATTTAGAACAAACCAGTTTCTAAGGCCATCCACCAGCATGGGGCAAATCCCTCCCTGGGGTAAGGGCAGTGGGAGTTATGGGGGTGGGGTGGGGAGAAGAGGCACTGTCTGTGGTGCATCTCATCTTTCTTGGCTCCGAGAGGGGAGCTCCCTGAACTGAGGCAGCTTGTACGGTACAAAGGCTGGGTTGGCCTCCGCCCCCACGCTCCCAGGCTGGACTTAAGTACACACTAGGTGGCACAAGGGTTTGTATTGCCACTTTATTGTCAAGAGCCGGCACCGCCTGGAGGTGGGAGAGAATAACTTAGATCCACTGTGGCATCTGATAGATATTGTCGAGCTGGGCGGGGCCTGGGCCGCGTGGGCACCCACCCGGGGAAGGTAATGTTCCCCAGCTGTGGAACTGTCCGTGGAGTGCATCTCTCCTGCCCGCAAGACCCCCAAGACCACTGGAGCTTCTATTACCTCCTGTACCTAAAGGGGTGAAGTGGAGGCCAGGGTCTCTTAGCTACTAGAAACTAAGTGCGGGAAGAGGCAGGAGCTAGCAGGACCCCAGAAGGGAGCAGGAGCCAGAACCTTGGGCAGTCACAGGATGACGCAGGGCGGCCGGCTGTTGGTGATCTTTTCTAGGGGCTCTCCGGTACTGGCCCTCCGGATGGCCTCAATGAGCTGCAGGGCAAAGATGTGGCCTGGATGATGCACGGTTGGGCCAGGGTGACCCAGGGGTCCTCCCAACCCTGCAAATACTCACATCTTTCTCATAAGGGAAGCCTCCATTTTCTAGTTTGGAGAACACCAGCTGCCCATTGATCTCGATCTCAAAGGCCCCTGGTATGAAACGGATGAATGAGGGAAAGGTGGACTGAGGAGGCAGAAGCTCTCAGGCTAATGCGCTCCTGTGTCCCCCCTGCCCCATCAACCCCACTAGGCTCAGTAATAGCTCCTTAAGTCATTCCCCAATCCTGGGTCAACTCTAAGGGACTTAAAGGAGGCCTCACGTGCGTGTCCATCACTCAGTGAAGGTCTCTCCCCCGACCCCACCTTACACTATTGCAGTGTAGCTGGTTTTTC